AACCGCACAATCACGGAGGCGGCACGCGGGTTGCTCATTGAAGCCGGGCTACCCGACTATTTCTGGCCTGATGCGGTGCGGAGCGCATGTGTGGCCAAGAACAGAGCCTTGACTCATGTTGGAGCAGACAAATGGGTGCCCTATGTGGAGTGGCTAGGAAGGAAGCCAAAGGTGGATATGCTTCGGGTGTTCGGGTGCATGTGCATGGCGCTTGTGCCTAAGCATCTTCGGCACAACAAGCTTGGTGCCAAGGCGGTGTGGGCCGTGCACTTGGGCATGGCTCAAAACAGCAAGGGATGGCTTCTTTGGGACCCATTCACCAAGAAGTTCTTGGTGAGCAGGGACTGCAAGTTCATGGAGAACTTCATGTACAAGGATTGGAAGGCGGAGAATGAGGGGAAGATAGGCGTGCGGTTTGGGGAGGTGAAGAGTTCTGGTTTGGAGCATGTGGAGCTGCCTTTGGAGCTGAGCAGCGGCAGCACAACCACGAGGCAATCCTCCCTTGTGAAAGGGGGAGAGGAGACCACTGATGCAGAGGAAGAAGAGGAGGAGGTGCAGCAAGTGAGTGAGCGTGCACCTTCACTCCCTTCCCGTACCACGAGTGCTCCACGGAATCGAGCCACACCGCAGCAACGCCATGGCCTTCAAGTCGCTGCAGCTGAGGAGGAAGGAAGGGGGAAGAGGAGAGTTCAACCCCCTAATAGGCTGACCTATGATGCACTTGGAAAGCAAGGCAAGACAGCCCTGGCCGGAGCGGCAATGATGGTCGGAGACGATGAGGAGAGTGACTACGAGGAGTGTGCCTTCGCGTTCTTCTCTCCGGTGGAGATGCCGGGAGAACCAGCAACTCTCAAGGAGGCTTTGGAGAGTAGTGATGCTGAGGAGTGGAAGAAGGCTTTGGAGAGTGAGCTGAAGAGCATCGAGGAGAATGACACGTTTGAATTGGTGGAGCTACCGGAGGGGCGTACGGCGATAACGTCCAAGTGGCTCTTCAAAATCAAGTCGGATGCCGACGGCAAGATCAAGCGTTACAAGTCTAGGCTTGTAGCCAAGGGGTACCAGCAGAAGGAGAAGGTGGACTTCAAGGAGCTGTTTGCCCCTGTGGTGAAGCCGACGACGCTGCGAACCCTATTCGCGGGAGCCGCCATCAAAGGATGGGTGGTGAAGCAAATGGACATTGTGACGGCATTCCTTAACGGCATCCTTGAGGAGGAGATTTTTATGGCACAGCCAGAGGGGTTTGATGATGGTAGTGGCAGAGTGTGGAAGCTGAAGAAGGCCCTCTATGGGCTGAAGCAGGCCCCTAGGCAATGGTACATGAAGCTGCGCGAAGTGTTGGAGGAGATCGGCTTCACTCCCTCAACGGCCGATCACTCCTTGTTCATGCTTGGCGAGGGGGAGCAGAGGAGCTTCATGGTGGTTTATGTGGATGACATTCTCATATTCTCACCCTCCTCTGACCTTGTGAAGGAGGTGATGCTGAAGCTGCATGACAAGTTCAAGTGCAAGTCCCTTGGTGACGTGAACTTCTACCTTGGGCTCCACATCGAACGAGACGTGGAGAAGCGGAGCATGCGAGTGCACCAACGGAAGTACCTGGAGGTGTTGGCTGCCAACTTCAGCCAGAGTGAAGGTCATGTGGCTACTCCCTTTCCCTCTGGGTTCAAGTGTGTGAAGGGGCCAGAGGAGGAGAGCGTTGGAGAAGAGGAGAGGCGCCGATTTCACTCGTTGGTGGGCAGCCTCATGTACGCGGCGGTAAACACCCGACCGGACGTCGCGTTTGCTACCGGGCAGCTGGCTAGGGTTGTGCAATGCCCTAATGAGGAGCAGGTAGCAGCTGGAATGAGGGTGTCCAAGTATCTTGGCCAAACAGCGACCGTTGGGCTGCAATACTCGGCGGCGGCACAAAGGCGCCAAAAGGGCGCGGATGGTGTTGAACCCGGGCGTTTGTTCCTCACCGCCTACTCGGATGCTTCATATGCATCAGAACCAGAGGACATGACAAGTGTGGGAGGCTTCATATGCTGTGTTGGTGGAGGCCCAACTGCTTGGGAGAGCAAGAAGCAGGTTGACCAAGCTTTGAGCTCGGTGGAGTCCGAATACATGGCACTCTTCCGTGCCGTACGGGAGATTGTGTGGCAGCGGCGTTTGTTGGCTGAATTGGGGGAGGAGCAGCAAGGACCTACCCCACTGTATTGTGACAGCCAGGGTGCCATTGCTCTTGCTAAGAACCCTGTGTTGCATGGACTCACGAAGCACATGAGGGTGAAGTGGCATTGGACGAGGAGCATGGTAACCGCGGGTGAAGTTGAGTTGCGCTACGTGAAGACCACGGGGCAGCCGGCTGACATGATGACCAAGAGGCTGGTGGAGCAGCAGCATTGGAAGTGTTGCAAGCTGGCTGGGATGGCTCTGAACTGACAGAGCAACACATCCTAAGGCCAACAATCCGAGGGGGAGTTTGTTGGTGCAACCCTATGGTTTGCACTCGGCTTGTTGTCCGTGTGCGTGCATGTGTGTGTGTCTATGGAATGGTATGAGGGCATGGGATAATATATATTTAATGCTTATAATTGTGTGTGAATGTTGAGTCATGATGTCGAGTGTATGTGTCGAGTCAATAGCGAGTTATCGCTAGACGCGTGTTACGCGGTCGTTTGTGTCTCGCGCGCGGTTTCTATTTTGTCGTGCGCGGTTTCTCTTTTGTCCTGTGTCGAACGTTCGGTGTGTCGCAGGTGTGTGCAGCAGACCCATCAAGAACTCAAGGATGAGTTTGTGATGAAGAGCCGAGCCTTGGTGTCAATCCACAAGTGATTTCAAAGCTCGCCAAAAGGGTACACCTCAAGATATTGAAGATAGTTACATTACTTTGTGTAGTGTAGCATTTCACTTGGTGTAGGCCCTAGTGAAGGGTAGTTTCGAGACCCTTCGTGGTTGGGGACAGTGTGGCACTGTTCCACATCACTGTACCTCGGCTCTTGGGGTTTGTAGGAGCTGGGAGTCATTCCCAACTCGTAACTCTTCCTAACTCTTCCTATCTTGTGTTCTAAGACCATAGTGGCTGCCATAGTGCCGTTCGTTCAAACCAACCCTGTGTCGTCAATACCTAATCAAATCGTGCGATCTAAATTGCCTTTTGTAGGCGACAATAAGGCGCTCCAGATCCAAGTTGAATCAAGTCATTTGAAGCTGTGACCAAAACGCTATGAACGTTTGAAGCCGCTGTGCAGAAATCCGACTGTGCACTCTATCTTTCGTTTTAGGCACATTGGAGCCTACTGTGACTATAACAGGGGGGTTCTTGGCGCAGAAGTCAGCAAGAAGCGCATCGCGGTAGCGAGTGTCACTAGTGCGGAGGTGCGTTATGAGGTCAGCGACTGTAGGAAAGGCAGCAAGGTCAGGGAAGAGGTACGGTAGCATGAGACGGCTCAGTGCAGCAGTGGCAGAGGAGGAGTAGCGTGCAAATACAGCGTTGTACAAGGTTTGAGCACTCTTGTACTGACCAAAGTGCGCACGCTCAGAGGTAGGGAGGTGGGGACGCACAGCAAGACGTGTAGCAGCATCGCGCGTGGCCCACTGTGAGCAAACAGTGGCGTCAGCATCAGCAGCAGGAGCAGGAGAGGCACCAGAGGTGAGGTCAAAGAGGGAGAGACCGTCTTCCCTATCGCACTGTAAGAACAGCTGCAGGTCCTCTACCCAGACGTCAAAGTCAATGGCTCGACCCTCGGCGTCAAAAGCGAGGACACTAGAAGTAGCCATGACAACAGTAGACTAGCAGCGCTAACTGTAGAGCAGGGGCAGTGCAGTGACAGAGGCGCTGCGCTCACCAGACAGGGCGGTTCAGGCAGCTCGGGCGGCTCGGCAGCAACTGCGGCTCGGCGGCACCCGCGGCTCGGCTCCTCAGCTGCTCAGGCGGCTCGGGCAGCTCGGGCGGCTCGGGCGGCTCGGGCGGCTCGGCTGCGTAGGCGGTTCAGGCGGGGCCGTAGGTAGGGCGACGGGGCCGGGTCGAAGGTAGGGCGACGGGGCCGGTGCGCATGTAGGGCGACGGGGACGGGTCGAAGGTAGGGCGACGGGGCCGGGGCCGGGCCGTAGGTAGGGTGACGGGGCCGAGGCCGAGCCGTAGGTAGGGCGACGGGGCCGGGTCGAAGGTAGGGCGACGAGGCCGGGCTGAAGATAGGGCGACGGGGCCGGGGCTGGGCCGTAGGTAGGGCGACGGGGCCGGGTCGACGGTAGGGCGACGGGGCCGGTGCGCAGGTAGGGCGACGGGGCCGGGGCGCAGGTAGGGCGACGGGGCCGGGGTCGGAGGTGGGGCGACGGGGCCGGGGTCGCAAGCGGGGCGACGGGGCCGAGGCCGGGGCGCAGGTAGGGCGACGGGGCTAGGGCCGGGGCCGCAGGTATGGCGACGGGGCCATGGTCGCAAGAGGTGGGGGCGACGTGGCCGGGGTCGCAGGTAGGGCGACGGAGCCGCGGCGTTGGTAGGGCGACGGGGCCGAGGCGCAGGTAGGGCGACGGGGCCGCTAGGGCGACGGATCAGAGGCCGCTAAGGCGGCGTGACTTGGCCGCTAGGGCGGCTCGACGAAGTCAGAGAAGGGAGCGCGACTCGGGCAGAGCGCGCTCCGGGCAGGAAAACAAAAAATTCGACTTGGTGGGCCCTAGGCACAGTTCCCACGAGGGAACCTGCTCGAGACTATGAGAAAACTGAAACGAGAATGAATGACTAAGGAATGAAAGTGATACAAGTATGCAACCCTAGCATTGTGTACCTCATAAAGGCTACCCCACTACAGCCTACACAACATTGTAATTTGACATGTTGTACGGGTATGGGTTTTCACGGGGCTATACTCGCAGTAATCGGGTGGAAGGGTGAGGATTAAAAAAAACAATCCAGGAGATACACAAGCGATCAGACGAGTAGTTATGAGAGTGTGCCGATCGTTACGACTGAATAAAGCAGAAGCAGATAGGAAAACAACGCTGAAGGGAATGGGTCAAAACAGTCAGGTACACACCATGAGGTCTACGAGCATACCTTGAAGCTTCTTCCTGTAGAGCTTGTGCAGTTGAGCCAGCCATTTTTTGAAGTTTTCCACATGTTTGGCGTCGTCAGGTACGTATGAGGCTGACCAAAATAGCTTACACCCCTCCAGCTCCTCCAGGTCTTTCATCCGCCACTCCAGCTCCTTGTCGACAGCACGCACAAACTTCAGCGACAGCTCGAAACAAGCCGTTACATCTCCGTCCGTCTCCTGCCCTTCGATGGGATTCTCGTGCAGCGTATAGCTGAATTCCACAGGGTTGCCGTCACTGTCCACGCCCTCTGCCTTCACCTCCCGCCTGTCCATCTTCTGATGACGCTGAATGAAGTCGTTCAGTGTCATCTTCTCTCCACTCCCGAAGTGATGATCCGGCTCAAAGTTTAAGTGCCGGTTCTTGATGCGCATCCGTGTCTGGTCCACGAGATGAGACACGAGCGTGACGTCAATCTGTTCAGACAGTACAGACGACAGGGTTAGCGTCACACCTTTCTGGGCGTAAGCAGTCTATATACTTAAGATTCGTTTACATGCCGTTGCTGGAACCGTTGGTTCAGATGGTTCAGCTCCCACAACACGTCAGCAAGCAGCCGGAGCAACCACTGAAACTTGAACGACGTGGCGATCTCGTACAGGTCGTTGTCGTACTCTTTGAGCACCACGATGGCTGCAGGCAGGATCTCGAGGAAGCGTCGGACGGCCTCACCACGTGACAGCCAGCGAACGGTGTGTATACCTTGTGCCTCCAGGTTCGTCTTGCAGAAAACATGCTGAATGTTATGAAACTTCTCGTACTTGACGTTGGATCGCGAGATGAGATCTGCAAAGCCACGGATGACGTCGTCAACCATGTAAAGTTAAGCATCCGCGGCATCGCTTGCGGCTAGAGCCTCCCTGCCAAGTAATCAAAGTACAAGTTGTGAGTAATGAAGTTAAGAATGGTGCATCGCTTTCCCACCGAGTGCATGGAGAGACACTCACCGATGAGCGACACAGTGCGTGGAGGCGAGGTGCGGGATCCTCATGCGCAGACGGGCGACAACCCTGCTGTTCTTGCCTGTCATGACACTAGCGCCGTCCGTTGAAACGGCAGAGATCTTCTGTAGATCCAAGCCAATCCCTGTCAGGTACTGCACCACAGCAGAGGTCAGAGAGGCTGCATCAGCACGGTCAACAGTGATGAGAGTTATGAACTCATAGACCACACCCGTGCCATGGAAAAAAGTAGCATAAACGATTAGATGTTTGCCGTGGATTCGGTCTGTGCTCTCGTCCAGTGACAAGCCAATCCAAGGCGACTCCAGCAAGTGCGATCGTTGCAGTTTTTGTAGGTACGTTGAGATGGCCCGGAGATTCTCTCTGAAGCCATATCTGCACATAACAACAGATAACAACATCAGTATATGTGAATATCACCCGTGGCTACCGTTCAAAAAAACAAGCGCTTACTCAGTGTAGTAGGCGCCATATCCGCCACCGTTCGGAAGGTCTGAAAGGCCTTCCTTTGCTAAGAACCAGCAGAGCGGGATGAACATCGAGATCGGTGCATCCGCCCTGCAGATAAAAAGCGCAATATGAAGCACGCGAATGATGTGACGCGTAGACGCGTCAGTTGACTGCCACCGTGTTAGTTTCGCCTGTTTCTCCTTCTCAGCTGCAGCTTCTTCTTGGATCTTGACCGCGCTCTTGTGGGCTCGTGTTGAGGAATGGGCCCGGACGCTTCCTATCTGCAGGTCGCGGCCACCTTCACCTCTCACACCGTAGCTAGTGTGAGCTGCGGGGTCGCCATGCTGCACACAAATGTCACACTTGAGTTTTGCTTCTCCGTTAGGCATCCGAATAAGACGCAACCACTTGAATTTACCCTGCCACTCCGTCTCAAACCGATGCTTTATGGTCTCGTAGACAACGTCACCGGTAGTTTTAGCGGGCGCCTTGTCTTGGGTCGCTACTGGACGTTGCGGTGAAGCTTCTTTGCGGGGTGGCGAGGCTCCCCATAGCCGCTGCTGCGTGTACTTCATTCCCACACGCGGGCGTTTCCCCGGGGTGCTGCTCACAGTGGACGGTGAAGCCGCGGAGGGTCTAGACGACCCTTCACCACCGCCTGGCACGAGAACAATTGACGGGTGCGGCTCCCAGTCAGCAGGAGTCGACGGCGGCTCGAACGGGTATACAATACCCACACTACGCACTGGAGAAGCGGGTGGTGGCAACGGCGAGATGGGCACGCTGTATGTCTCAGAAGGGGGAGGAATAACTCCCAGCACAGAAAGGCCATTACGCACTACCGCAGGAGATTGAGGAGTTTGCTCGGCAGGCATGACTACCACATGTGAGAGACCTCCCAGTGGGTGGTTCTCACACTGAGGGTATGAGAAGGATGAGAAAGATGGGGTGTTCTTGGGATCACGACCCCCTCCTCCAACACCCGTGATGACCCCGGAGCGCGTAATTGCATGGCTCACGGTGGTCACTTGTGGCTGCCAGGGTGTGTTCTGTTCAGCACGAAAGGAGGATGGCAGCCCCGCTGTCCTGTCGGCGCGCTACTAGACAAGTCTGGCAGTTGTCAAATGCTGCTCTGGCCTTGATTCTGTGTTGCGCTGGCATGGTGGCTGCCTGTTCCACCAATGTTGTACTTTCGTGGCAGGACGCGTGGAAACTCCGCGTGACACCACCTGGGGGTGATATTGTTTTTTGTGACTGGTGGTCTTGTTGTCCGTTTCGCATTCTGTTAAGTTTTGAAATCCTCGCTTGCAAGAAATCCGTATCAGTGTAACTGAAAAAGTACCCTGTACAGTCAGGGAAAAATTTGTGGCACGCTGTATTTCAAAGGAAAAAAAAATTGCACTTAATGGTGTTGGGCTGAGAATTTCAGCCTTAGGATCTTTGCAGAGAATAGGCTAGTAAGTGCTAGAGTAGCACAGCGGAAGTCTTGAGTGAATGTACTTGTGCTGGTATGTGAGAACAAGTAATTGATTAAAGCAAAGGGCATACAGGAATATATAGAAAGGATAGATTACAAGGAACGGTTATGTTTATCGAGACGCGTAACGCTTCGACTATCGAGGTGGTTAGTGTTCACTGAAGCGTCGCTTGCTGTTACGTAACCTCCAGGCGGTTACAGCTCGCAACCTCTAGTTGCGGTTTGATGTGGTACGCGCCTTTTCGACTTCGTACTCCTTTTGTTGTGCTTCAGTATCGGGTGAGGTTCGATACTATAGAAACGCACTAAGTCATGCGTTTATTTTCCCAACACTCCCCTTCGTTTCTGGAGTGTCGACGTGGTCAGCTTCGGTGACGTGGTCCAATCCGGTGAGCAGCATGCAGTACTCGAATTTCCCCTTTGGTAGCTTCTTGGTGAGATAATCTGCTGCCATCTCGGTGGTCGGGCAGTAATCCAGCTGGAGTTTTCCTTTCTCAATTTCGTCTTTCACGAAGAAGTATCGCAGTGCGATATGCTTGGTTTTGTTGGCGAAGCCATTCTTGTTCGCGATCCGTATCGCGGACTGGTTGTCGCAGAAAAGCGAGAAGCTGGGTACTTTCGCAATTTTCGCTTCTTCCAGCAGTTCGCGCAGGTACAGGCCCTCCTTGGTAGCAGTGCAGAGAGCAATATACTCTGCTTCAGCAGATGATAGTGCGACGAGTTCCTGCTTACTTGATTGCCAGGAGATAGTTCCGACGGGCTCAAGACGGTAGATGTAGCCGGTGCGAGAGCGACGATCGACACGATCAGCAGCATGATCAGCGTCGACGTAGCCGAGTAGGTTTAGGTCGGTCGTCGTGTTCTTGTGATATGTTAAGCCAACTGTTGGCGTCGAGATGAAGTAGAGAAGGGCACGGTTGAGTTCCTTGAGGTGACGTTGTTCTGGGCGCTTGAGGTAGGTCGCTAGTTGACTGGCGCTGTAGGATAAGTCCGGTCGGCACGTAACGGCGGCAAAGAGTAGGCAGCCCAGTTTCTGTTGATATTCCTGGATTTCAGCAGGCGGCAGTGGGTTGGTTTCTTCGGTTGGATCGAGCGATAGGTGACTGTAGGGTGTTGCGATGTGCGTCGGTGTGATGCAGAAGCGTTCGGCGATAGTGCTTGCGTATTTTGAGGCGCTGAGACGAATAGTGTTGTCTTCATCGAGGATGTTGAGCCCTAGATACTGCGTGACGTTGGGTGAGACTGTGAGGGAGAGATCTGTCTGAAGCTCCTTTTCGAACCAGGTGACGATGGTGGTAGTTGACCCGATGTAAAGCAAATCGTCGACGTAGACGATTAGCAGAACGTAGTCGTTGTCGCGAGTGAGACGATACATGCCCTGGTCATGGGGCAGTTGGTTGAATCCGATGCGTTTGAGTCGTGCGTGCAGGTACTGCTGCCAGAGTCGCGGTGCCTGCTTAATGTCATAATGTCATAAGTTAGAAGAAGAAAGAGGGTTGAACTAGCAGAAATGGGGACACAAATAGCAAACCCTAGAAGGGTTGTACTCGCTATAGAGCACCCCACTACAGGCTAGAACATAAGAATAACATTCTGACACTTAATTCCGTATAGTGATTTTAGTAGTTGGCAGACGAGGGAAGGGTCGTCGACGAACCCGTGGGGCTGTTCGACGAAGATTTCAGCGTCGACTGGGGCGTATAGAAAGGCGTTGGCGACATCGATTTGTCGGAGTGGGCGGCGGCGTGAGGCGGCGATGGCGAGGAGTATGCGCAGGGAAGTATGTCGACTGACTGGTGCGAAGGTTTCAGTGAAATCGCGACCATACTCTTGGTCGAATCCGCGGACGACCCATCGAGCTTTAAACCGTTCGATGGTTCCGTCGGAGTTGGTTTTGATCCGGAATACCCATTTTCCGGAGAGAATGGGCTTGTCTTGTGCGAGTGATGCAGGGACGATTTTCCAGGTGTTGCGGTCTGAGAGCGCTTTTAACTCCTTTTCCATGGCTTCGCGCCATTTTTCTTTGTGTTCCCCCCCCAGAGCCTGCTTGACAGAGCGAGGCTCTTCAGGTGGCGACGAAGGCCCGTGCACTGCAGCGACGAGTCCTAGGACTTGGAGTCCGCTGGGGGTGTGACGATTCAGCAAAGGGTCCTCGGGATAGACTGCTTCGTCTCCCGCTTCAGGATCAGGTGCGAATCCGGGGCCGTATCTTTCAGAGATGTCGGTGTTGACGGGTTGGGGTGTTACGTAACCATTGTCGGCGAAATGGTAGTAGGCGTCGGCATTGTTAGTGTCGCGAGGGTTTTCCTCGTCCATGGGGATTGGGACGGAGCAGTAAGGAAGGGGTCCAGCAGCTTCGGAAGCGCCGTCGACGTTCTCTTCTTCCCAGTCAGCAGCATCGGAGGGTGAAGCGAAGGCTCGGGAACCAGAAAATCCGCCGGTGGGGTCGACGTGGCGTGCGATGTTGTCCAGGTAATGGTTGAGGGTGAGTCGCTCGTAGAAGATAACGTCACGTGCTGCTACTGTTTCCTTTGTGTGGACGTCGAAGATTCGCCATGCTTCGTAATATTTTGCCAGCCCGAGGTGTAGACCCCACTGTGCACGTTGCGAGAATCTCCCTGCGCGTGCAGTGTGTGGGCGGTACTGTACCATACACCCAAAAACTCGTAACATTTTTGTGTTGCCCAGCTTCCCAGTCCACAACAGGTGCGGAGATGCGTTGTTGGGCAGTGATGACGAGGACAGCAAGTTGTGCAGGAGGACAGCGTGGTCCATCGCTGCTGGCCATTCTGAGTTGGGCAGTCGAGTTCCACGTAGCAGCTTTCGCATGGTTGTCTGCAGGGTCCTGTTCATCCTTTCTGCCACACCCTGCTGTTGGTGAGCGTAAGGAAGAGAGATGAGGCGTTTGATGCCTCTTTCTGCCAAGAACTGTGTGAAGCTGTTTGACTGGTACTCCTTTGCGCCATCTGACTGAAAACTCTTCAGTTTCGCTCCTGACTCTCTTTCAGCAACAGGTAGCCAGGCTGTGAAGGCTTCTAGAGCCATGTCTCGTGACGGTAAGTTGACGTGCCAGACATATCGCGTTGCGGCGTCGATGAAGGTGATGACGTAGTTCAGATCTTCACGTCCTTCCGTTCGAGGTATGTATAGTATGTCGCTGTAGACTTTCTCGAGTGGTTGATAAGCGGGGGCGCTCGGATTGTGGTGTGACGGGAACGGTTGGTGAGGCAGATCTGCTTCCGGGCAGATGAAGCAGGTGCCGCGTGGTCGTTCGAGTTCTCGTCCGTTGGGAAGAAGTAGGGCGTTCTTGTCTAACACTCCAGCTCGTATTGTATTGTAGAGTGTTGTGTTTCCAGGATGTCCAAGACGTTGATGCCATATGTCTTCGGAGGCGCTGTGACCTACGGAGCGTCGATAGAAGTCTGCGTTAGCGAAGAAGGCGGCGTGAGTTGCTGCACTTCGATGAACGGCGCGTGGTGCTGGCGTTAACTGTTGGGCGGCTGTCGGCGGCGTGTCGATGATGAGAGGTGGAGGTGCGACGGAGGGACCGAGCTGTAGGGTTTCGGAAGGTTGTTCCGCGACGACGGTTGGTTCTTCAATTGCAGGTTTGGAGGTTGTTGGAGTTGTGACGGGTGCAGTTGTTGTTTCGATGACGGGTGCTGACTCAGGTGTTGTGGCTTGTGTTTGCAGGACGGCAAGCGCGTTGGTGCGTTCAGCTTCGGGAATGGTACGAGAGTACCAGAAGCCTTCAGGACTGAAGTTCGGGTCGAGGTCTGGCGGATGCGTCCAAGGTGCGAGAGCGACTATGCCGTCGCTGTCTGCGGTGCCTTTGTCGGGGACGAAGTCGAGGACGAACACGTCATCTTGTTGGATTGCACGGCCGATGAAGACCCCTCCTTTTCCGTGGTAAAGACGGATTTCCAGGGCGTCGGAGTCGCACTCGAGGTGAACGCCTTTCGACATGAGTTGGCTGACGCTCGGTAAGTTAAAGCCGAGGTTGTCGACGACGAGTACTTTGTTTAATTGAAGAATAACGTTTGTCTCGTTTGACTGAAGCTCCACGACTCCTTGTTTGTTGGTGCGCAGGTTTTCGTTGTTGGCGATGGTGATGATGACGTCTCGCGGAAGACGTCGTTCGCGCTGAAGAAATCGTGATGAAGAGCACATGTGATGACCGCAACAACTGTCGAGGAACCATGTGTCTGGTCCGGTGGGTGCACGGTTCGCGATGGCGGCGTACGTTGGATTCACGTTAAGGGACGACGGTGGTGGTGATGGTTGCTCATCAGGACTGTAAGTTGGTGGAGAGCCGGTAATGCACGAGTCGATGTTTGACTCTGTTGTTCGTGCCATGGCGACGATTCTTGGTGTCTGTGCAGGTCCCGAAGTGGAAGTTGACGGTCGTGTTGAAGTAGTCGTTGAGGCGGTAGCGGGTCGTTGTTGGGTTGACGCGATGTGGGGAGGCACTGGTCGCAGAGGACGAGAGAATGGTGCTGGTTGTCGTTGTTGCTGAGGGCAGTTGAAGCGTGTGTGTCTTGAAGTCCGACAAAGATGACAATAGGGAGGTACGTGTCCTCGATTTTGGTAGCGTGGCTGTCGTCGATTGGTGTAAAGAACGACTGGTTGATGATGCCTTTTGTTGTTGCGTTCTTCGAACAGGTCCATTTCCTGCTGCTCGGCGTGAAGTTCGGCGCAGAGATGCATTTCGGAGAGTCGACCGTGAGCGCGAAGAAGTGAGCGGGTGGTGCGCCACTGAGGTCCAAGGCCGGCAAGAACGACGGTTACGAAAGCTTCTTCAGATAAGTTTCCTCCGCAGCGAATGAGTCTGTCGCGTAGTCCTTGACAGCGACTGATGTAAGGCATGGCCTTTTCTCCAGGTTGCATTTGAACTGTTGTTAGTTGTGCCATGAGTCGGCTTTGCGTAACGCTGTCGGATGCTTGATGAATACTTCGCAGATGTTGATAAGCGAGTTCCGCGGAGTTTGCGTAGTTCCGGTAGGCGCGGATGCTTTGTTGTTCATTCGGCGACAGGTTTCGGAGAAGAACGGTGTAAGCCATGAGGGAGTGATACGTATAATTTTCTTTGTCCTTGTCTTCGCCGTTGTGTGGATATGGCCAGGTACCGTTGAAGAAGCCAAGAAGATTCGCGCCTTCCATCAGGAGTTCAAATTCGAAGCTCCAAGAGTAGAAGTCCTTCCCGTTGAATGGTGTGGATGTGTGCAATCGTAGGATGTTGTTGAACTGTGCTTGTACTTGCAGGACTTCTTCGGTGTCTCGTTTGATGGCGGGAAGAGGAGTCGCTGGATGGCGGGGCGGCATGAACGTGAAGGAACCAGGTGAGACCGAATTTGGTGTTTGTTGATTATGTCGTCCGAACGATGAGTTGTCAATACTCATTGGTGCCGCTCCGTTGTTTACGCTGTTGCTGTTGCAGGTTGTGAGGACTGTTGCTGCGACATGAAGTTGAAGAACTCCTCCATTAGGCTTGGGTTGAAGATTGGCGGCGCTACTGGTGCTTGAGTGGAGCGTTCCGTCGCTTCCGGTGTTAATCCGGGCGTTGTTCCTCCTTCGGTCTGCAACTCGGAGACCGGGGGTAGAGTAGATCCCGTAGATGATCTTCTTTCTTTGCCACTTGCCATGTCTTGCCTTTCTTGAGTGAAGGTTGAACTTCTTGGTCGTTTGCAGATTGGTAGCCTGAAAGAGGCTTAATGACGAGAGCCTTTGTTCTCTGACTGCTCTCATACCATGTTGGGCTGAGAATTTCAGCCTTAGGATCTTTGCAGAGAATAGGCTAGTAAGTGCTAGAGTAGCACAGCGGAAGTCTTGAGTGAATGTACTTGTGCTGGTATGTGAGAGATTAAAGCAAAGGGCATACAGGAATATATAGAAAGGATAGATTACAAGGAACGGTTATGTTTATCGAGACGCGTAACGCTTCGACTATCGAGGTAGTTACTGTTCACTGAAGCGTCGCTTGCTGTTACGTAACCTCCAGGCGGTTACAGCTCGCAACCTCTAGTTGCGGTTTGATGTGGTACGCGCCTTTTCGACTTCGTACTCCTTTTGTTGTGCTTCAGTATCGGGTGAGGTTCGATACTACAGAAACGCACTAAGTCATGCGTTTATTTTCCCAACAAATGGCCTAGGGTAAAAATCCCAGTACCCTGCCTGGGAAAGGGTAACTGAAAAAAAGCGGCCGCCAGTCAGTGCAAAAAGGGTATTTTACACTGATAACGAGAGGCCTGCTCACTAGGAGCGAAGGAATTTCATAGCATTGCTATGGGTATGGATGGAGTACCAAAGGTTCACCGCAGTCTGGTCATGCAGATGCTGTAGAGGAACATAATACACTGTTCACAATGATTGGGGTGCCATTGGTATCATGGGAAACCTCTCTGCACACTAGTGAAGTGAATTGAAACAAAGCTTCGGCCCTGTATTGTCACACTGGCCACTACCTTCCCTTGAGAAAGAACCACTTCAGCCATGTCCTGGGTCCATGAGGTTCGCCGCACCACAGCCCTCGTCCTGCCCTTCACGTTTATTCGGAACCCAGCGAGGTTCACGGACAACTGAGCAGCAGTGGGCTTCTGGTTCACCACAAAGACACTCACAGTGAGGTCACCGGCGTGGTAGAACCCCGCTATGCCGTGCCAGCACTTGGACGGCATCATCAGGGGCTGGCTGCCAGGCCGTACAAGGCTCGTGAGCATCTTGAACATGTAGTAGCGCTTGGATAGCACAGGCTTAGGGATGGGGCCTGAGTACCCAGTGGGGAACGTCCAAGGGAAACGCACGATCGCCCAGCCTATATCCGGGTCATAAGCCATCCAGTAGACGAATGCGGAGGCGTGCAGCAAGTTGACGGCTTCCATTACTGTCCGCACCACGTACAGCGACAGGTCGTACGGGTGTCCACCCCGCCCCATGTGCCCCGCCTCCGTCACCCACACCTCCTTGCCCAGCCGCTTTGCCATGTTGCGCACTGCCAGGTACGCCTGCCCCGTGTGCCGCACGGGGTCCTTGGCGGGCGGTGCAGGGTCCATGTACGAGTGCACGTTGATGCGCGCCGCCCCCTGCATGCCACGCACCGACGCCAGTGCCTTGCCTGTGCTCTCCACCCAGCTGTCAAACGCCGCCACGCGCGTGCGCAGCCGCCTCGCCTTGAGCAGCTTCACGGTCTGCGCCAGCACTCTGCCCATGGCTGCCGGGTCCACGTTGCACCCTTCCTGCCCATTGCCCGCGGTCCAGAACCCTTCCAGCGGCTCGTTGAACGGCTCTAGCGTGTCAAACGTGAGATTCCATGCGGGGTACTTGGCGAATTTCTCCACCACTGAAACCAGGTAATTGGCGAACTTCCCCTCGTATTTCCGCTGCAGGTTCGTCTGATTCCGTCCCTTGGCCCCTGCCACGTCCCCCGACACCGTCATCCACCAGGGCGGGCTGTTGGAGAACGCCTCAAACACGTCCGCCCCGCGGGCGCGCGCACCAAACAGCACGTTCCTCTGCCGCTGGTCCGCCGTCCAGTCAAAAGCGGCGGTCTCGGCGGGCCAGTACCCCGGCATGGCCTTGAGGCGCGTCTGCTGGTCGCGCGCGAACTGCGGGCTGCGCTGAGGGCTGTTCCCCCCGCCGATGTTGTAGCGCACTATGTTGAGCCCCAGGCCCTTGGACTTGTGGAATACGGCGTCCAGTAGCACGTCCATGTTCGCGCGCGCCAACCCGCCTATGTAGTTGCCCTGCCTAGAACACCAGAAAACGGGAGGGAGGGAGGTTTGAGCGGGGGTGTGGGGAGGGGGAATGGAGGGAAAGGGGACGGAAGGAGATGAATGGGAGAGGAAGGAGGAGTTAGTAGAGTGAGGGAGGGAGGTGGAGGGACGGGGGGTTCAGGGGTATGATGATGGCAACGGCCGCGGAACCCGAGGCTGGGAGCGTGCATGGATGTGAGAGGGATTGGGCGAGCAGGGACATGGATAGATAGACGCAGGTTGGAGGTTCGGGCGTGCACGAGCAGCGTGGCGAGCAAGCACATGGAAAGATGGACGTGGCAAGTGCAACCACGAACTTCAGGCAGTTGCTGTGACTCTCTGCCTGTATGTCTACGCTACCCGCGGCCGCGCCTACGCTATGCCGCACATGATCCGCCCATATCCCCGTGGTGCACAGGCGCCTCCGCGCGCTAACACACCACGGCAATCGCGCGGCGGCGGAGGGGGCTCACCACGCGAGGGACGTGCCCCACCCCTTCCACGTGGTGCCGATGAACGTGGGCGTCACTGTGAAGTTGATGGCTCCTGCACGGGAGCGCGCGCGCACACACGCACACACACGCACATGCGGGGTAAGGGAACACGCGCCCATACATACACACACATACACGCGGAATGGGGTCAGGCAAAGCGAGTAAACGCTGATGATCGCCATATGGCGCGGCGGAGACTGCGGCTCTCCCGCGCGCCGAGCGAAAAAGGAGAAGTGAGGAGCGAGCGAGAGTGGCAGCGGCGAGGGGGCGAGAGGCGGCGGCACCTGCGAAGCTGCAGATGTCGAACATCTCGCTCGCCGGCGACAGCGACGGCGGGGGAGGCTCCCCGCCCGTCCCTTCCGCCGTATACACGCGCCAGTCCAGCTCCGCCGCGTCGCCTCCCTTGCCGACATCCGGATCCCCGAGCTCCGTGTAGCCAGCTCCGTAAAGAGCGGCGGAGTCTGCGGCGGAGAGCGGGTGCAGGCGATGACGGTTGAGAACGCGCGCGAGGGCGGGCGAAGGGGGAAAGGGCGAAGCCGCCGCGATGAGGAGGAGGAGCACGATCTGCGATGCGGGCCACGCGAACGGCGGTCGTAGTGATGCGAAGCGGGAACGGTGCGGGATATCTCTAGCCGTCCTGGCCCGGGTGCTGCCGGCTGTGGCGCCGGCCATGACCAAACGGCGTCGTGTGCCGTGGCGGTTGCGAGGAGGGGGGATGAGGCGAGGGAGCGCAAGTGCAGGCTAATACTACGGTTACTACTCTAGTACTACTAGACGCCGACGACCCGGACTCCTCTACGATATGAATCACGATGCTGGCGGGCTGTGGGGTGCACCCGCGACGCAAGCCACACGCTGTGTCCGTCAGATGTACTTTGGGCAATGTCCAGAGATTCCTTGAAGGATTATTTCAGTTGCGGATTGTTTTTTCGAATATTTCATTTAGACGAAGAATGAGAGCGGTACGAACGAGCGTTGAGCGATCAATGTGGGTCACATTAGCACCACTTCGTTCCTAAGCAAGGAGGAATACGAGAATGGCTGGGGTGCGGCCCCTCGTGAGTTCTCGATTCAAGAGGAGCAGTCCGGATCTGCTGAGGTGAGTTGTGTACATTTGGCTACGGGTGCTGCTGGATTCACCCTACAAAACTAGTCACCCACACAGTCCATGTGTAATTTTGTTCGATGGCAGCCAACCAAGGCAATTGGGCACGAAAACCAGCGGAGAGGCGAGAGCGCGGGAGGGTCCAAGGGGACAGGCAAGGGGAGGGAACAACAATGGCAACGACTGCTGCGGCCGCATCGCACGTGGCGACAATTCGACACGCCCTCCACAGCAGGTTTCCGTCGCTCACTTGTCGGTGGGCCAAGGACTTGGCGAAAGCAATCTCGCCACCACTCCTGTACGACGGATGCCACAGCAGGCGGAGCAGTGCGAGAGGCGACACGTCCGTCACACATAGTTGGTGCAAAAGCGAGCCACTCCTGCAATACACCACACCACACACTCCATTTAGGATGCAATCGAATTTCTTCGGAAAATATACAGAATACAAGATGCTTAGATACACATAGGCAAAGGGGTTTCCAGCATTTCGAAGCCTTATCTCAAGATGCTACCTCTGGTGCTTAAAGCGCTCTCTGTTTCAAGACAATAAAGTAAAGCTAGCATGCTTGAATTCCCCAACCACTCCACCACTACCCATTCACCAGTTCGTGAAGAGGAGAGGACTCTTTCAAAGTCTGTTGCCAAATAGCAGCACAAGTTACAATCACCGTACCTTTGCCAACATCCATTCCCAAAATTTGGAACTAGGGTCAACACTCTGTTGCAAGCCGCTATTCCAGGGTAAACTTGGCATACAGCACACTAAAGATGCATTTGATACACATGGCAATGCTTGTGTCACTGGATTGACTCGCACGTCGACCGGAAGTCCTCTAGGCACTTGGTGAGAGACTCCATCCTCTGCCGCGCTGCGTCTCGCTCTGCTTGCATCTTCTTGACTGCAGCAGGTGCAGTGAACATGGCCATCACGTCAGCATCACGCCGCGCAAACAGCGCCTCCAGCAGCGATGATGCCACGCCCTCACGACTGCTCAGTGGGAGGGAATGCAATAGGTGAGGAAGGTGGATGTGAAGAGAAATGCATGTGGCTGTGGTGCACAAGGTACAAGGGGATGCGGAGAGGCAAGGAAGCGACGATGCTACAGAGATTTTTTTTTTTATGGGGAAGGGGAGAAAGGAGTGGGAGAGACGGGTGGTGGTAAAAAGAAGATTTTGGATGGGAGAAAGGGAGGGAGGGAGGGAGGGATGGAGGGAGGGAGGGAGGGAGGGAGGGAGGGAGGGAGGGAGGGGGGGAGGAAGAGAGTACGAAAGAGAGGGAGGATGGGAAAAGGAGAGGGACGGAGGAAGGGACGGAACGAGGGAGGAAGGTGGCTTGTGTGGGGATGACATGAGGGGGAAACATGATCCGGATGTGATGTTAAAGAGTCTTACAAAGGCGTTTCAAAGGCTGAGAGGATGGCAAAGGGCGCATGTGAGGCGAGGGTCATCTTCATGCCCTGGAACTCCACCTCCACCATCTCCTTCACTCGACTGTACCCAGACCTGCTCCTCCCTCCCCCCTCCGCCATCTCCTTCCCACCACCCCGTCCACCGCCCTCCTGTCTCTTCTTACACCCCCCTCCAGCGTGTGGGTCATTCAGCACGCCACTCACGCCACGCTTGCTGCCCCTGCCACAGCCCACGTCGCAGTCGCTCTTCATTGTTGGCTCTTCCCCTCGCTCATTCCTCCCTACCCGCTCGCCACACCCTCTGGCTCCAGCCAATGCCTCGTCTCTTCCTGCATGTTCGCTCCCTGTCCCGTCCCTCCCTGACTCCCTGCCTGCTTCCCTCCCACTGCCACCCGCCTGCCTTGCCCCTTGCCCTGTCAATGCCCCACCTGACCCAGCCAGCCCACTACCTGCCAGAATCAGCCGGCCACTGATCTCTGCATACTCCTTCCACTTGGCCGCTGTTGCTTGCTCCCTGGCGTGGAGGTCAGGTGAGGGCGTCTCAGGCACAGTCATGTGACAGTCCCGCAGTGCCTGTGCGTCTGCTCCCCCGCCCTCACCACCAGCACCTGCAGCGCACACGGGAGCAGCACCACCTTTAACTGGCGTTGAGTAGGACTCGCCCCTCGCACTGGCCATGTTGTCAGCAGCAGGCCGAGCGGGATAGAGGGGAATGCGCCCGTGCCGAGGCATGGCACCCCTCTCAGTCCTCCAAGCATTCTCATCTGCACCCGGTGCTGCTGCCTTTGCCACTCCGCCCTCCTTCCCTGCTCGTGTGGCAGTAGGCAGGGGCGTGTGGCTCTGGAGGTCCAGGGGGAGGTGCAGGCCCAGCGGAGCAGAGGGCATTATGGGTGCTCCCTGCACACAAGAGAGCGCGAGCGAGCGGGACAGGTAGGAGCATGAGAATGGATATGATAGGCAATTCTCCTCGAAGTCCACCGTATGAAGTAGAAGCTCACATCACATGCCTACTGTTCATTCGAGTGTGCACGCACAGCACACCTCTGCGTCCATGCATCCGATACCTCCCATTCCATTCCAAGCCACTGTGCAATCACCCCGCACTAGAGCCACGCCCTCTCACCACACTCACATGAGGCATGCCAGCAGCAGCAGAGGGCGCCAGCAGGTGACAGGCAGCGGAGCGCACGTGGTGCTGCGCGAGGTGGCGGCAGCGCGAGGAGAGCGAGGCGAGGAAGGCGTCATAAGCAGACCTCAGGGCCGCATGGAACCCAAGGAACGGCTCCAGTGCCACGCACGGCGCCACCACTGTGCCTGATGGTGACGCGGACTGGTGGGCAGCAGGCGACTGGAAGAAGCCCGTGTGGTGACTTTGCTTCGCCTGGCTCTCTGAGGCACCGCAGGGGGGGGACAAGGGGGGGAGGTCGAATGAGTGCAAGAGGAGTGGAGGATTTCAAAGGAGCATGAACAGGAGCAGCAGAATTGATGGTGAGCCATTGCCAGTCCACGCAGCAACAGGAGGCACCGCATGGGGCATGGACCATACTCTGTCCCAAGCCTCCCCCAACAACCGCCGCCCTTTTCTCCACCCACACTCCCACCGTGCCCCCCATGCACCCCGTGCAAACAGCCAGCCTGCCAACCCTAGTCGCACCGGACTTGACGCGCTGCAGGGCGACGTCGAGGAGACGGCGCAGCAGGAAGGCGATGCGCGCACAGAGGGCGTCCATCAGCGGGGCAAAGCGCGCCAGCACTGCCGCACGCGCCACCTCCGTTGCCGTCGCTGCCACTGCTGCTGACGACACGCCACTGACGCCACTGGACCCAAACGCGGCCTGCTTTGCCAGAAGGGCGTTGGCGACCTGTGCATGGTAGAAGAGGAACACGTGAGGGCAGGCAGACAAGAAGAGGACATGTAATGAAGAGATCAGATGTAGATGATGCTGGCTGCCAATGGATTGACCTCACTGGTCAGGTTTTCTACAGAGGAGATGCAAGAGAGAGACGGTCAGCTTTTCTACAGAGGAGATGCAAGAGAGAGACGGTCAGCAGGCAGCACCCAAGTGGGCACGAACACATGCGCGCACCTTCTCTCGGGACGTGTTGGGGAAGGGGACGGCCCACGCAGCAATGCTAAACTCATGCACGACTCGCATGAGCGCTGCTCCGCCATACAGCCGCAGCCCCTCGTTCACCACCCCGCCCCTGCTGCCCCCACTCCCTCCCACCCCACTCCCATCGCCAACCCCCTCACCCTCTTCCTCCTCTCTCTCCTCCTCCCCCTCCTCGCCATCCTCCCCCTTGCAGCGCCTGAGGGAGCGTGCAGCGTGCAGGAAGGCGTGGGGGGGCACGCCAGGCCAGTGGCCCACGGTGCTGGCGGCCTGCTCCTCGTGTGTGGAGAGACCCCACTGGGACGGGTCGGGCTCCACTGCCCCGTCCAGCAGCGACAGCTGGGGAGTGCGGCGAGGTGGACGGGAGAGGGCAGGCAGGGCAGTGAGAGAACGCGGGAGGGCACAGGGTGAGGCCACTGCTTGTGGTGCTGCATGCATGCTCTTCGTTCTTTTTGCTCGCCCTTGCTAAGCTGGACCTGCACACAAGCACTTTTCCTTAGTGTAGCGCCATGTGCCAGTGTTTCAAGCATCACCAAGGAAAACATTCATCCAATTTGATCCACCAACCCATCCATGCATCATCGCACTCATTACATGTCCCCACCCCTTCCTCTCCACTTCCCTCCCCTCACCATGGCGCTAGTGGTGGCCACCACGTGTCGCATGGCCAGCCTCCTCATGGACGCCACGTCACTCGCTGCACTCAGCCGCTGCTCCACACACGCCACCTGCTCTGCCACGTCAGCACACCTTCGCTCCAGCTGAGCCAGCACAGCAGGCGCCGCAGCACTGTACCTGGTGACGAGGAGCAGGGAGGGAGGGTGGATGGCGAAGCTGTGGGGAAACAAGCAGGCAACAGGAATCAGCGACGAGACAGGAAGAAAAAAACCGTTCAACCAGCAAGTGCTACCAGTGGAAAAGGCTACAGCAGAGGCCAAGGGAGGGCTTCGATAAACCAGCAGAGTTGTAGATATGTCGGCCCACACAAGCTGCCCAACCAGCCGTGTTGCAGGCTGCGAGGCAAGAGAGGGCGCACCTGCGCTGCATCTCGTCCTCCAGGAACGCCTTGAGCTTGGCGAACCCTATCTGGGCGCCGTACCGGCGCTCGTCAAACCCGCCCGCCACCTCCGTGCGCAGGAAGTGCAGCACTGCCGCGTCCACCTCCGCTATCTGCCGCCGCAACTGCGCACTCTCCTGCACTCCCTCGCTCGCACCACCGTCCCTCTCTGTGCTGCCAGTGCTGCCAACGCCCGCTGCGCCCTTCTCCTTGTCCCTGTCCTTGGTGTCTTTGGGCAGCGCGATGAAGAAGGGGCCTCGCAGGGGCGTCAGAGGGGCGCAGCCAGCGCTGCCAGGGCTCACAAACCCTTGGGAGGCAGGGGCAGGCCTGGGAGACACGAATGGCGAGGCAGCAGCAGCAGCAGTGGCAGGGGGCGGAGAGGTGGCGGAGTGGAAGTACCCTCCTGTGCTGAGGTATCGGTCCACCTCCCACCTCTCTGAGAACTCCTGCTCGCACACAACGGGGGTCATAAGGAGGGAGTGGCGGACAGGAAAAGTCAACGAGCAGCCCCTTACTGGGAACGCTCCTCAAGCAAACAGCGAACATGCACAAAAGCATTGCAGAGTAGAACACAGTCCCAGAGTGGCTGCGTTGAGGCGGTTATTGAACACCAGATGGATCAGATCCAGATGGAACACCAGGCGGTTATCAAATCCAGGTGGAACACCAGATGACAGCCATACGATATTATAGCAGCGCGCCCCTTCCCCAGCCTCACCTTGAGGCGGTTATCGAACTTGGAGGCCACAATGACAGTGCGGCGCAGCTGGGGGTCGGCCCGGCGCACCACGTCGAGCCAGAGCGAGGAGCACCACTCCACGCTGCTCTGCTGCAGGAACACTATCAGGCGGTGCGGCGGCACCATCAGCTCCACCACCATCGCCTCTATGTCCGCTGGGGTGCTCTCCGGCTCGCCTCGCCGCGCCTGACACACAGGAGGAGCAGAACCATAAGCACGCCGATCCATCATTTCGATCCCTCAGGTCCTTTCGAATCGACACCCTGTTTCTCCCCTACCCTCTGGCCAACGTGCATGCACGACGTCCCTCTGATCACATCCGTCCTGCACCCCCTCCCTGTTCATCACGACGCCACGCGAGCCCACTCCCGGCCCCCCCAGCTGCGCACCTTGAGGATGAACCCGGGAGTGTCGATGAGCGTGAGCGACGCGCAGAAGGCGTATTCCACGCGCATCACGATCGGCTTCGAGCTCACAATGGGGCCTCTCCTGCGCGTCACCTCGCCGCCGCCGCTCGCGCCAGCGGAGCCCGCCGCCGGCGCTCCGGTGCTAGCCTGGCGCAGCGAGAGGAGGTGGTCGTGCGTGCGCTGCTTGAGCGCCGCCGCCACCGCGGACAGCGGGTGCAGCACGGGGCCGTACGCGTCGGAGTGCTCGTCCTGGGAGGGAACGGACAGAGACAGCACGCAGGATCTTTAGGGCTGCAGCTTTGCTGCCGTTAGCGAGCGTTACTAAAAACGTGACCAGGACCGCGTTCACACGAGGAAACGGGCATGGGAGTGAGGCGCAAGCAGGGAGGGAGTCTAGGAGGATGCTGTTCGTGAGGGTGCGGGGAGCGCACCTGCAGGCGGCAAAGCGGTTGCAAGGCGTCGGGGCGATGCATCATCTGTAGGATGAGAGGGCGCCGGGTACCCATCTCCACCTCGCGGATGTTAAATCGGAATCCTGGCGCCACACACGCGCGCACACGGCAAAGGTCAGCGGACTCCAAATCACGAGCGGCTGCAACTCTTCTGTCGACACCATCACGCATCTTTAAGACATTCGCGTACGACTCGCCGCCGATTGGCCCTTATCTCTTTCCTTCCTTCGTCTCCCAATTTCTACCCCTCTGCACCTCGTCTCTCCAGCCATGTTATGTCGCCATCTGTCGCATCTGTCGCCTATTCCTAACCTGCTCACCCAGCAAGGCTTCGAGGAGCGAGCTCTTGCCGTCCGATTGCCCGCCCACCACCACGATCTCCGGCAACGGTAGTTGCTCGCCGAACGCCACTGCGCACGACTGCAGACGACTGGACAACAGAAATACAAAACAAACAATGACATTGTAGATTGTCGAATGCTCGTGGTAAGACATTTCATTTGCCGTGAGATAAGACCGGATTCGAAGAGCATGCATAGACTTATCAAAGGCTGATCAAAATCCATTCGGCTCTTAACGGATCGGAGACACGACAGATCCCAAGAAAACGCTTAATCAGCGTTGCGAGGTAACATAGACGCATTAGCGGATTAGGATGGATACAATGTGACTCGTAGCTAGCTTCATGCACAGAGCGATTTTCCATCCTAGGACTCCCAACGCGTCAGCGACTATACCTGTACGCCTCGAAGCGGGCTCTGCGCTGAGGATCGTTGTAAATGGCCGCTTCCATGCGGCCAGCGGAGTCATCAGCAAGCGAAGAGGATGGGCGGAGAAGCTGAGAGGCCATGGCTGATAAGACGCCTGGTGCTGGCGATCCACCCTGAATCAGCGGTCGCACCTTTGGAATCAGCAACTAAATTTCACGATCAAGCGAGCGGCAACGGCAGGCCAGCTCGCATTTTCCTGGATCAACGTGATGGTGGAGTGAACTGAGCAAACTACTGGAGGAATCAGATTGCTGGAGGAATGAAAACCGTTCTCAAGAAGCTCTTGGGACTAGTTGAGCATAGCAGATCGAGGTGCTGGTATGTGACTTGAGAAAGGGGGTGTGGTGGTGGCGGAGGTGTCTGCGTGACGCTTTCAATCGAGCAGATGTATTCTCCGCCGTCCGATCATTGCTCTGACAGCCCGAGGTTGCCCACAGCTTGTTCAAGTTTCTGACAAGGACCTCAATTCCCGCCAAGTTTGGCTCCAGCACCAGAGGTGTAGAAGCAGGCCTGTCGATTCAAGGGCATATGCCCTTAATGCCCTGAACATTAAGGGCTAGTTTCGCTCCAGCTCCAATGCGGCAAGTTCTGAATTCGTACCCCACCCGTGCCACTAAGTGCTTCGTTCGACCCTTCCCCGGATGCGTTAAGGGACGAAACCAGGCTTTCCCCCCTATCTAAGTTTTGGTTTCCGCTCGTAGGACCCCCCCCACCCAGGGTGCCCAAGACCCCCCCCCCCCCCCCCCCCCCCCCTTTCTCCTTAGCCTGCACTAGAGCGCGCCAAGGGGATTTTTCCCTTAGCGTTTTCTAGCCAATCTCGTGTGTGTGTAGTGTGTCTCAGTCAGTCTTGGAGCACCCGAACATTCCCTTAGCGTCCAATACGAGCTGGCCGCAGTTTACTGTCAGAGGTCCACTGGTGATCCCCGATTGATCATAGGAAAGGGTTACAAGCACGTTGGCCTGGGGGGTTATGGGCGCACTGACCCGCTACTGAAACAAGCCCTTTTATCCCAATGGTCTAGTGGTTGGGATTCTAACATGTTATCAGAGCGAAGGTCTCGGGTTCGAATCTTGGTGTGTGCACCTCGGGCATCCCAGTGCGGGGGGGTGTCAGAGGTCCACTGGTGATCCCCGATTGATCCTAGGAAAGGGTTACAGGCACGTTGGCCTGGGGGGTTATGGGCGCACTTACCCGCTACACAAACAAGCCCTTTTATCCCAATGGTCTAGTGGTTGAGATTATGAGATGGTATCCAGAGCGAAGGTCTCGGGTTTGAATCCCGGTGTATGCACTTCGGGCATCCCAGTGCGGGGGGGTGTCAGAGGTCCACTGGTGATCCCCGATCGATCCTAGGGAAGGGTTACAGACACGTTTGCCTGGGGGGTTATGGGCGCACTGACCCGCTACTGAAACAAGCCCTTTTATCCCAATGGTCTAGTGGTTGGGATTCTGAGATTTACAGCTGTGACACATAGGATTAGGTTGGGTGAATCTGGCTAAGTTTATCAGCCATAGAGAACTCCAAAGCACCTCAAAGGAAGTGAAGCACTCCAGCGTAGGAGCTCTCTCACCACCTTCGTTCGTGCGTGCCACCATTCCTCTCCACCACCATGCATTCCATACACCACCACCCACCCACCCACCCAACCTCCCACTCCTCTCCTCTTTTGTTCGTGCCATGTTTTCTCTTCTCCACCGTCTGACCACCTCCACGGTACCGCCCACCCAAGCTCTCTGCTCTCCACCTTCGTTCGTGCCGTGCTATGGCACTTCTCCTCCACCCACCAACTCTGCCGAGTAAAGCTCGCGTCGCCTCGTTCACACACGCGAGGTTTATATATTGGCTAGCTAACCCGTTCCCTTCGTCAGCCACAATCTCCCACCATGGACCATAGCGAGGGTGAAACCCCTCCTCCAGTTTTGCCCACGACGAACTTCTCTTATTCTCATACTACAACCGAGACCGAGCCCTCCGTAGCCACGGATGCTGAAGACATGCTAGACGTAGCAATCTCAGTCTTGGACTCGTGCCTCGCCCAGCAAGCCTCATCGTCACAGTCTACTCCGAGGTCTGCAGCCCGTTATCGTCAGGTTCACCTAAGCTTCGCTAGTCCGCCACCAGACACGCGAAAGCGCGCACGATGCGTACCGCCACCACCCACTGCTGAGGAGTTGGAGGCGCAAGACAACGCGATCGCAGAGGATGCAGAAGTACCCCCGGACACCGAGATCCCTGAGGCCGAGAGGAGTCTTGCACGTCGCTTCAGCACGTCGTGGAAGCAGACGTACTCGTGGCTGAGCTTGAAGTACAACAAACATGAGCGCCAGTTTGGTATGAAGTGTTCCGTCTACTGTAAGTTTGCTCCTAACACCAAGTCTCCCTTTGGCGGTGCTGGAGTCGGTGCAAGGGATTTTCAGAAGTCGTCGTGCCGCAACCATGACCAGTCCAAGGTGCACCTCGCGGCCATGGAAGCTGAACGACTCTCTGAAGGCACGGAGGTGAGGCAGCGCAACCTCTTGAATATGCTCAGCAGCGATCCTGTCATGGCGAGGGTCGTCAAATGCATGCAAGGAGCTCACTGGATTGCGCGGAACGATGCACCTATCGCGCTCTACCCCATGCTGGTGCGGTTCATGGCGGAGCAAGGATGCCCCGACATGATGACCGACGAATCGTACGGTCGTTATTACTTGCGGTACGTGCTTGTTAGCCTCTGTTTCTGCTCCTGATTTCCTGCTTTTGCTTCTGTTCGTATGCTTCTGCTTTGTTCTACTTCTGCTGTTCGATTGTGGATAACTTACTCACATTTTCATTCGGTGCTCATTGCAGATACGCCTTCGACGAGTTCGTAGAGGCTATGGCGGAGCATCTGGTGGCCAAGCAGCTTGAGGACATCAAAGAGTCGGCCTGGTACAGCCTCTCCTTCGATGAATCCACGAATCGCGCGCGTGGAAAGCATCTCATCGTGTATGTCACGTTTGAGAGAGCCGAGGCCGTGGTGTCCCAGTTTCTTGCTCTCCTGTCGCTCGAACGTTGCGACGCCGCAGCACTGCACGACACGATCGTGAAGTGTTTGTGGTCGAAGGACATGTCGCTGGACAAGCTTGTCGGGGTGTCAACGGATGGTGCATCCGTGATGACTGGCGCGAAGAACGGCGTTGTCGCCATGCTTCGGAAACGTTGCCCGTGGCTGGTGGCGATTCACTGCGTGGCGCATCGGTAAGGTTGCACTGCACTGCTTCCGATCGTATTGTACACCTGTCCCCTCCCCAACCATACTCACGCACGTCTCGTGCTTGTGCAGCGAGACATTGGCTGCCAAGGATGCCGCGAAGAGCTTCAAGGAGTTCAACGTCGTAGATCATATGATACGCCAGACTGCAGAGCGTCTCGGGCGTTCATCGACCGATCACAAGACCTACATGCATCTCCAGGACGTCATTCTGCAGACGCACCTGGAGGTGCAAGGCTTCTGCACCGTCCGTTGGTTGTCTCGCGGGGATGCTGTGAGTCGCTTCTGTGACGTGCTGCCGGTGCTGATGTGGATGTAGACGAAGGAGAAGGGCGAGACGGAGAAACTCGCTACCAGCTTCAAGTTCCACTACATGCTGTATCTCCTGGCTGACGTGCTGGCGCTGCTCAACGGACTCAATCTGTCCTTCCAGAAGCAGACGGTAAGGTGCAGATGAGCATGGCGTTGTCGCTTCTTGACTTGTGTGCTTTGCTCTATTTTTTTCGCGCTCTGTTTGCTTTCAAGTCGACATTACAGAGGTGAAGAACCATGTCGACAAGGTGAAGACCAAGGTGTCGCAGTACTACGTCGAGCCCGGCGCATCCAACGGGCCGAACACCTCTCGCCTAAACAAGTTCCTTGCTGCACACGGCAGCAAGGACAAGCGCAAGATGGAGCTCAAGGGAGTGGACGAGAACGGCAAGCATGAAAAAGCCGAGATCGAGCTTCACGAGGACATCATTGACCCTGAAAACCCTTGGGGGGGATGCGACTTGGAGGCCTGCGTGGACCTGGCGAGGCGTTTCGCTCAGCGCCTGATTAAGGCGCTGGGGAAGAGGATGGCGGATCTGCGTCATTTCGATGGTGTTGGTTTTTTCTCCCCTGATAAGTATCCCGACCGTGCAGGAGAGCAGGACGCGTGGGTGAAGCTCCATCTCTCCGAGCTCCTTGACATGTTCAAGAACAAGCTACCTGGTAAGACGAGAGGGGTAGAGTAGGAACCTTGTAAAGGTTCTAACCTTGTTTATGTTCTAACCTTGAATATGGTTTTCTCCAACATTGGCATGTTCTAACCTTGTTGTATATGTCATTGGCAGGAGTCGCTCTTGCTGACATAGAGCCGCAGATGCGCCTCTTCACAGCCACCATGGAGAAGAAGTTCAAGAAGCAGAGCTTCCATCAGGCTCTCACCAACATGCTGCGCAAGGCAGACTGGAAGGATGACTATCCCACCATAGTCTCCCTCTGGCGTGCAGTCTCTGTGTTGCCCCTCAGCACTGTTGAGTGTGAGAGGGGCTTCTCCCGCCAAAACATTATTAAGTCGTGGGATCGTGTTGCTCTCACTGATGTTAGGCTGGGGGAGCTGATGACGGTGAAGATGCTAGACTACCCAGTGGACTGGGCAGCGGCCTATGCCTTGTTTGAGGAGAAGGGGAGGAAGGGGAGGAAGCCTGCCAAATAGGCTTGCATTGCATGCTTGGGTAGAGTAGGGTAGTTAAATATGCATGCTACATCTGTAGTTAGTGAAAAGTAGAACATTGCAGGCAAAGTAGGTTTTGTCAGAACATATAGCTTACTTGTTTCTGTAGGCTATAGTGGGGTATCCCATAGGGGGTACAACCCAAATTAGGGTTTCCTATTTGTACTCACTTCGTTCATAGTCATTTCATTCTCGTTCATATCTTCTCGTGGAATCAGAGCAGGTCCCTTCCTAGGGACTGTTCCTAGGGCCCACCGAAGCGCGCCCCGAGGCGCGCGTTTTTTTTTTTTAGCGACCCTCCGTGTCGCCCTTACCGCCGTGCTTCCGCTTAGGCCCCTCGTCGGCCCCGCTTAGGCCCCTTGTCGGCCCCGCTTAGGCCCCTAGTCGGCCCCGCTTAGGCCTCGTCGGCCCCACTTAGGCCCTGTCGGCCCCGCTTAGGCCTCGTCGGCCCCGCTTAGGCCCCGCTACGGCCCCGCGTCGGCCCCGCTTAGGCCCCGTCGGCCCGCCTAGGCCCCGCTACGGCCCCTCGTTGGCCCCGCCTAGACCCCGTCGGCCCGCCGTAGGCCCCGCTCCAGCCCGCCGTCGGCCCCGCTATAGCCCGCCGTCGGCCCCGCTACAGCCCGCCGTCGGCCCCACTACAGCCCGCTGCCGGCCCCGCTACAGCCCGCTGTCGGCCCCGCCCCAGCCCGCCGCCGGTCCCGCTACAGCCCGCCGTCGGCCCCACTACAGCCCGCCGCCGGCCCCGCTACAGCCCGCCGTCGGCCCCGCTACAGCCTCGCTACAGCCCCGCTACAGCCCGCCGCCAGCCCCTCTACAGCCCCGCTACGGCCCACCGTCGGCCCCGCCGCCCGTGCTGCAGCCCGCCGCGCCACCGTGCAGCCGCCCGTGCAGCCGCCCACCATGCCGCCCGTGAGCAGCCCCAGCCGCCCGTGAGCGGCCCGTGCAGCCGCCCGCGCCGCCCGTGAGCCCCTGCGTCACCCGAGCCGCGCGAGCCGCCCGAGCCGCCCGAGCCGCCAGTGGAGCCGCACTCCTGCTCCTGTGGGGCTACTGCTGCTCCTGGGCTGTGTTACAGTGCCACTGACCTACCCGACTTTTCCTACCCGGTGAGACTGTCAGCTGCTGTCATGGCCACCCCCACTGTCCTAGCTTTTGACGCTGAGGGTAGAGCCATTGACTTTGCAGTCTGGATTGAAGACCTGCAGCTGTACTTACTGTGTGATGCGATAGATGAGGTCTCTCTCTTTGACCTTTTCTCTGGAGTTGTCCCTGCCCCTCCTACTGATGCTGACCCCGCCGTTCGCTCCAAGTGGGCGACCCGCGATGCTGCTGCACGTCTTGCTGTGCGTCGCCACCTCCCTTCCTCCGAGCGTGCCCACTTTAGTCAGTGCAAGACCGCTCAGGCCTTGTACGACGCTGTAGTTGCACGCTACTCCTCCCCTTCCTCCGCTACGCTTAGCTGCCTCATGCTACCGTTTCTCTTCCCTGACCTCGCTGCCTTTCCCACTGTTGCTGACCTCGTTACCCACCTCCGCGCTAGTGACGCTCGCTACCGCGCTGCCCTTCCTGCTGAGTTCCGTGCCGCAAACCCTCCTCCCATGTACATCACTCTCTACTTTCTCGTAACTCGTCTCCCTGAGTCCCTTCATGTAGTTAGGGACCAGTTTCTCTCTGTCTGTCCCACCACCCTCACTGTCGACCTCCTTGAGGAGTCCCTACTAGCGGCTGAGAAGAGCATCGTCGCTGTAGGGGCCTCTCGGGGTGACCCTCGCACCCCCATTTTTGAGGGGTGTTCTCCTTCCCCCCTGCTGCCCTCTGTCGCCTCTGCCGCTGCGGCCGACCTTGCTGGTTTTGAGTCGGTCGGTGCGGCGTCTGCCCCCAGCGGTAGACGCCGCAATGGCAAGGGCAAAGGGGGCAAGGGAGCGGGTGGAGCTAGAGGGGGCGGTGGCGGGGGAGGTGGGGGTGGCGGGGGGAGTGGGGGTGGCAGTGGAGGTGGTGGCGGGAGTGGAGGTACTAGTGGAGGCGGTGGAGGCGGAGGTGGCGGCGGAGGAGGTAGCGGAGGAGGCGGGGGTGAGGGTGCCGGTGGGGGCGGTGGCGGTGGAGACGGGGGTGGCGGTGGAGGCGGGGTTGGCGGTGGCGGCGGGGGTCGGGGTGGCTCGTCTCAGCGGAGCAGCTCTGGGGGTGGTCAGCGCCAGCAGCAGCAGCAGCAGCAGCAGCAGCCACAGCAGCAGCAGCGCTCTCGCACCGTCCCCGCCCCTCAGCAGCTCCGTGAGTGGTACTTGCAGCGTCAGCGTGGTGGTGCGTTTGGTCCCTGCCCCTACGTTCTTCGCACCTGCGACCGTGCGGGGGAGAGGTGTGGAGGCACCCACACAGCCCGCCGCTGCTTTGGCCGCCTGACCGACGCCTGGCGTCAGCAGTTTCCGGAGGCCGCTGAGTTCCCCCGCGGGGGGGAGCTGTCTAGGGCTGGTGTAGCTATTTATGATCTTGACTTTGATGCTATTCTTTCTGCTATGTATGTTGTGACTGGTAGTGATGAGGATGACTGTTACCGGTGTTTCCCGCCCGACCCGGGCATTGGTACTGCTGCGTCAGGTACTCGTGAGGCTGCTGCTCTAGGTGCCAGTGCGTCTGTGCTCTCAGGTGCTGGTGAGTCTGCCCTCTCAGGTACTGTGTCGGCTTCGGCCTCTCACACCTTCACCCTTGACTCTGGAGCGTCTCGCTCCTTCTTTCGGGACCGCACCACTCTCACGCCGCTGAGTCGGCCGGTTGCGGTGTCCCTGGCTGACCCCTCTGGGGGGCCTGTCCTGTCTCGCTTCTCCACGGTCCTTCCGTGTCCGGCGGCCCCCTCTGGCACCCTGTCTGGTCTCTACCTCCCCTCGTTCTCGACGAACTTGGTGAGTGGTGCTGACCTACAGGATGTGGGTGTCCACCAGTTCACTCCTGCTCGTCAGCGGGTGACACACTGCACGGAGGCTAGCACAGGTCGCCACCTGGCTACGTTTACACGTCGGCCGGGGTCGAGCCTGTACACACTGACCACTGCTTCTCCTCCAGGTACTGAGTCTGGTAGGGTCCCTTCATCTGGTCAGGTGTTTGCTGCAGCGTCCAGGTCTGGCCCTGAGTCTGCCCCCTGTTCGTGTCGTCGTCTGTCTCACGAGACCCTCCTCTGGCACCACCGCCTTGGCCACCCCTCTCTGCTTCGGCTCAGAGGTATGGCCTCCCGTCTTCTTGTGTCTGGTCTTCCCCGGTCCCTCCCTCCCCTTCCTCAGGGCCCTGGCCCTGCCTGTGTCCCCTGTGTCGAGGGGCGCCAGCGTGCTGCCCCTCACTCCTCCCAGTTTCCTCCGACAGAGGCCCCGTTGCAGACGCTTCACATGGACGTGTGGGGCCCAGCCCGCGTCCTTGGACAGGGTCAGGAGCGCTACTTCCTGCTCGTTGTTGACGACTACTCGCGTTACACCACAGTCTTCCCCTTGCGCAACAAGCGTGAGGTCACTGGGGTGCTGATCGACTGGATCCGCGCAGCTCGTCTTCAGCTCAGGCAGAGCTTTGGCTTCGACTTTCCTGTGTTGCGTCTGCACTCGGACAGAGGCGGAGAGTTCTCCTCTTACCTTCTGCGTGCCTACTGTCGTGCGCGAGGCATCCGCCAGTCCTTCACGCTTCCGGACTCTCTGCAGCAAAATGGGATTGCTGAGCGCCGCATTGGCATGGTCATGGACGTCGCCCGTACGTCCATGATGCATGCGGCTGCCCCCCATTTTCTGTGGCCGTTTGCGGTCAGGTACGCAGCGCATCAGATCAACCTCCACCCCAGGGTCTCCAGGCCGGAGACCTCCCCAGCCCTGCTGTGGACGGGGAAGGTTGGCGATGCGTCCGCGTTCCGGGTCTGGGGATCTAGGGCGTTTGCCCGCGACCTGTCTGCGGACAAGCTGTCCCCTCGCGCTTCTCCCTGCGTCTTCCTGGGGTTCCCCCCCGACGCCCCTGGGTGGCAGTTCTACCACCCCACCTCTCGACGTGTTCTGTCCTCCCAGGACGTCACGTTCGACGAGTCGGTACCCTACTACCGCCTCTTCCCCTACCGCACTCCTTCCCTCCCCCCGCCCCCGCTCTTCTTGGTACCAGGTCCCCCCCCGGTAGACCCCCTCCCCCCTCAGGGTCCTGCCCCTTCAGGTGTGTCCCAGGTAGACGCGGTCGAGCCTGTCGAGGTCACTGGTGACTCTGGTGCTGCTGCGGGTGCTGAGTCTGGGGATGCTGAGCCTGGGGGTGCTGAGCCTGGGGGTGCTGAGCCTGGGAATGCGGAGTCTGGGGGTGCGGAGTCTGGGGGTGGTGAGCCTGGGGGTGCTGAGCCTGGGGGTGCTGAGCCTGGGGGTGCTGAGCTTGGGGGTACTGTGCCTGGGGGTGCTGTGCCTGGAGGTGCTTCGTCTCGCCGTGAGCCACTCTCCCCACAGGAGCTGCGTGAGTGGTTTGCTAGGCGCTGGAGGCGTGCTGCTGGTGCTCGAGTTTCTTCGCCTGCAGAGGGTGCCA